TATGGTATTCTCAGTATTCTTCTGTAGAACCATATCTCTATTGCCTCATCTTAACCTGTGAGGAGATTTTCCAGTATTCACTGGCATATAGGAGGACCACTATGTGAAACTCTCTTCCAGCTTTTTGCTTCCCAGTCAACTTTGATCGTCAAAAATTTAAATGCAATGTCAGTCGTTATCTACAGTCTTCTTAATTCTTGTTCTTTTATTGTTCTCTCTCCTTAATAATGTTTTCTCAGATTTTTTCACTCATAGCCATCTTTTGCATCATAGTCGCTTTATTGTCTTACTTGGGGTGAAATGATTAAAAAAACCAAATTACAAATCCATATTAACAATTTAGAAATTGCTCATTAATGGAAATAAAAATGATTTATTTATAAATCATTTTAATCCCAACTTTCTGGGTCAAAACAATCGTCAGTATTACTCTTAGAATTATACATCCTTTATTCTGCTATTGATGGTCCAACATCTCTTTTAATTAAGATAAAATTACGAGTGCAAGGCACATTTGTAGGCAGGCTGAAAGACTGCAGCATACCCCATCATCCACTTAAACTGCAGTGAAAGGATGTTTATGCATCATACCAACAAACTGTATATCCCACATCCAACTCCAACTTAAAGAAAAACTGCAGTTAAGTATCATTTACCTATCATGGAGTGAATACTAGATATGGATGTGCATATGGTATAACAGTTATTAATGTGTAATAAACGGATTGAGTTCAAATACTCACTCACACTGCTTTTTTGCCTTGAGAAAGGCATGGATCCATTTTTCCTCACTCCAACTGGTTAAATAGTGCAGTAACTGGGACACACAAGGAAACATGGCTTGAAGAATTTGATACATACAAGCTATTTCAAATTTTTCTTTTGATTTATTGATTGTTTTTCTATGGCTTATCAGCACTTTGAAGGTTATTTAAAGCCAGAAATTTTTTTAGATTGAAAGAAAGTTTCTTTGAGATAATAATGAGTTAGTGATCCAAGTTTTACTAATTAACCCATGTCTGGAGGAGAGAAGAGGTGGATTCATGCCTTTCCCAAGGCTATTTGAACATAACTAAATATAATAAACCCAACCAGTATTGGAACTTGGCTCTCCAATTAACAATTCCAAGTCATTACCTATTATGCTATTCATACATCCAAGCTTTCAGCACCTGGATCAGTCACCAATCTAGGTACTGACCAGGAATGACATTGCTTAACTTTGGTGATCATATGAGAACTGGTGTTTCAACATGATATGGCCATAAGTTTGACATATTGAAGGCAAGAATTCAGGAGGGAAATAGTGTTGTAACCTACCAACCAACCTTATGTTAACGGATGGTATAACATGAACTGGGAGGGGTAGTAAGCAGACCTACATTACTTAGAGCTACAAAGAGTAGGAAGCTGTGGAGAACTATGATCAACCTGAGCGTCTGTCAATGGATGGTAGAATATGGACTGAGAGGGATAGTAAGGGGATAAACATTATTTAGAGCTGCAAAGAATAGGAAGTTGTGGAGAGCTATGATCAACCTACTGAATATTTGTATAATGGATGGTAGAATATAGACAGAGATGGACAGTAAAAGAACATTATTTAGGGTTAAATAAGAAGTTGTGGAGAGCTATGACCAATCTACTTAATGAGCTTGTGTAAATAAATGGTAGAACATGGACTGAGAGGCATAGTAAGGGTTCAAACATTACTTAGAGCTACAAAGAATAGGAAGTTGTGGAGAGCCATATTCGTCAACATACTGAAGGGATATGGCACATAATGGAGGACTGAGTTCTCTAACATTAGGTAACAACTAGTCTAAGAGTAGGACATCTCTGCATTCCAAATCATGGAGTTGGCAACAGAAAACATTCTACTATCTTTCCTATCAAGTCATAAGACACAGGAAATAAATAATTGAAACATGTGAAGACTCTCGATCAGCAACATCTTAAAGGGACATGTTATTTTAAAAAGTTTGTTGTAGTAAATTCTAAAAAGCCTGATATGGTGTTTATAAAAGAATTACATATCTTTGTGTGTACTTGAAATCAGTGTAACCAGAGATAGCCATAAGTACAGGGTGTGGCAGAAATACCTCCCACTTCATGGTAAGTCATTAGTGGCAATGATACCTTCATCTAATACATCACACATAATGGTAAGACAATAGTGGCAATGATACCTTCATCCAATACCTCCCACATAATGGTAAGACAATAGTGGCAATGATTTCTTTATCTAATACCTCCCACATAATGGTAAGAATAGTAGCAATGATTTCTTCATCTAATACCTCCCACATAATGGTAAGACAATAGTGGCAATGATATCTTCATCTAATACGAATGACTTACCATTATGTGGAAGTATTAAATGAAGACTCCATTGCTACTAATGTCTTAACATTATGAGGGAGGTATTCCTGCCACACCCTCTAGTAAAAATAAGAACTAGATAAAATATTCCTAGACACAGAGAGTGGAACATGAACAGTCTACTTGTGTAGATTAAATATTGATTTCAGTTCAGAATTCCCTGTAGGTTACACGGATCAATATATACCTGATGAAGGCCAGTGGGCACAATAGCTGAAATGTTGTCATAAAAGCAACAAACGAGAGGACAATAGTCTGAATGTAAATAGTGTAAATGATAAAACAATTTTAATCAAATATTGTATTGGTCTTTGTATACTTGAAGCATCAATGTGTTGGTGAACTGCTCTTTCACTCAACGATAATAGTAGTAATAATGATTTGAAAAAAAAGGAAGTCAAATACAATCATTGTTTACATAAAAGAATCATTCTGGTGGTCACAAACACTTTACCTGGTCACAGATATTATTTTCCCTCATAATATTTGATTTCAGGTAAAATATGATTTTTGACTTAAGTCAAATTAATTACACTGTATCTGATCTTCATCAACAATCTTCCTGATGTCATCAATTTTCAAGTAGGCATCTACGCAGAAGACACTACCATTTACTCCTGTCTCAATAGTAAATCCAGCATTGCTGACAGTGTTAGCATGGCCATTGGTCTTGAAAAGGACTTCCAATCTGTAGTTGGCTGGGACAGGAAATGGCTTATAAACTTTAATGCCTCCATATCAAAACTGCTCTCATTTACCCACTATAGAGAAACCTACCTGCCTCCTATCAGCATGGCTGATGCTCAACTTCACAAGAGCATCTCCCTATGTCTTTTTGATCTCACATTTTCCACTGGCCTGAGGTGGAACAATGACATGGAATAAATAGCTTCATCTACGGCAAGGAAAGTTGGTTCTCCATGTCATACCAGAAGTTTTTTCTCATCTGAGCCTATTTTTCAAATCTACCATTCGTCCTTGCATTGAGTATTGTTGCCATATATGGTCTGGTGCTCCCGCTGTTCATCACAATCCAAAGATGGATATGCAATGTGACTGGTCCTGACCTGGTATCTCCATTCCAGTCTCTTTTTCAAAGATGTGATGTGGCTTCCCTCTGTCTTTTCTACAAATATTTTCATGGCAACTGCTCTTACCAGCTATTTTCACTGGTTCCCCAACTGCATGAATTTAAGCATGCTACTAGGGTGACATCTCAATCTCACAATTTTACTGTTGAAACAGTTAAATGTAACCACCTATTATACTCCAAGAGCTTCTTCTCTCACACTTCCCAACATTGGAGCTCCCTTCCTCTTGCTTGCTTCCCTGATAGCTATAATCTTCAAAAATTTAAATGTAATGTCAATTGAATTCTTCTAATGCCTTGATCTTTTTCCCTGTCCTTCTCTTTATCCTTTCTTTAAACACTTCTCTTTACTCTTACTGTCACTCTCTGTAACCCCTTGCATGCTAGTAGCACACCTGCTTTGCTTAGGGTGAAATGCTTAAAAAAAAAAAGGCAAGACAAATATAGTTCTGTAAATGCAATTTGCTGCAAGAAGAGAACACTTTTCTGCAGCTGCATTAGCCGCTTTTCTGTCTTAACTGAACGTTTCCCATTTATTTTCACAGATTCTTAGCTTAGAAATTAAAATAAAAAAAACTTACCTTTATGTTCCAGCCTAGTGGACCAAACTTTTTCCTCTCTTGAATAATGGCATGAAAGAAACAAATGCCAAACACCATTTTGCGCCAATCTCGAGCCAAAACTATGAACAAAATTAAATCATCCTTTGGATTATTCTTAACATTTCAAAGACGATCTAAAAGATATAAACTTTATAATAATTTCTGTTGGGACCAATATCATAAACCTTATAAAAATATCATTAATGAGGCTGAAACTAGTTTCATATATATATGTACAAGATCACATTTTAAATACTATATCTGATGGCATATAAGAACCATGTTTAGATTTCTGGGATGACCTGTGATATATATCCTGATAAGACACCCCTGCACAAAAGCATTCTTTTTGGCTAGATGCTTACAGCCTCAAGTATAAACCTGATCAATATCTGCATACAGGCTCAAGTATAAGCCCAATCATGGTTTAACTATAGATTCAAGTATTCCAATGTTTGCATATAGATGCAAGTGTAAACAAAGTTTGCCTATAGGCTCACGTATAAACCTGACCAAAGTTTAACTACAGACTTGTATAAATCTGATCAGTATTTGCTTAAAGGCTCAAGAATAAATCCAAGCAAGGTTTGCCTATAGGCCCAAGTATAAACCCAATCAAGGTTTAACTACAGATGCAAGTATAAACCCAACCAATGAAATCAGATACAGAGTCAATTATAAGAATAAACACATTTTGGCATTAAATAACTCAGTAAGGTTTGATATGTTATAAAATCTATCAGGTCAACCAATGCTAAACAGATACATTTCCTCTCATAATCTCCACAGGTAATAAAGAAAAGCAGTCATCAACACTTACTATGATCTTCAAAAAAAGATTGGGATATTTCTCCAAAGGCTCTTCGAATGTTTGCTCGCAGACCTTTGGGGGGCTCGTTGGTTACTTTGATGCTGTTTTGTAAAACGCTGATTGGAAAATGTTTAGCAGGCATGGAACTGAGAAAAAGACGGAAGTCTGCATGGATATCCTGAGGTTTTTCTGCAAGGTTCTTCACAATTTCCTCCATGGAGAGCATCCAGGATGCTGCAAGATGGCAATTCTGATCAAAGAATAGAAAAAGGAAAATATCACATTTTAAATATGAAGAATTAACTCAGAAGACAAATAGAAACTAAGTATAGATTCAGAAAATTGTTAGGAGTAAAGTTATAAGGTGTGAGTCTTTCTAATAACATATTTATTTCTGCCGTTAGTTATTTCATGACCCAAATTGCTAGTAACTGACACTTCACACCAGTAAAAAAAAAAAAAAAAAAAAAAACTTTGTCTATATCATTGGTTTGCAAACTATAACCGATCTTAAGATTTTGTTTGGTTTAGCTTGTTTTACAGCATATCAACCTCAATGGGTTATTTAATGCTGATAAGATTTTTATTGCTGGTAATATTTTTTTTCAAAAATGTATTACTGCTAATATATTTTTTATTTCCAAAAATGTATTGCTAGTAATATTTTTTTCAAAAATGTATTGTTGCTATTTTTTTTTTATTTCCAAAAATATATTGATGGTAATATTTTTTTTCCAAAAATGTATTGCTGGTAATACATTTTTACTTCAAAAATTCATTGCTGGTCATAATTTTTTATAAAAATGTATTGCTGGTATTACAACCTATGTTTACTCTTTCATAGTGTTTTGACCCCAGTTTGGGGGGTTAACTATTTGCCTATAGCCGGGACCCTAACAGGTGCTACCACTCTGGGTCACAGTGGACCTGGGAACACCAGCAATTAAGAGGTGGTTTCACGCTCCTCAAAACCTCCTGATCAGAGGCCTTGCTGTTGGATTTAGTTCATCATCTTATCCAGGATGAGATTTCATTTGGTCTTCTGCAACTTCAAATATTTTAACAGTATATCTTCCACTTCATCCTGTGAAGATCTACACAAGATTTGGTTGGAATGTCAGATTCAATATGTCTTAGCCAATGCATTAACCCACTAGACCTTGTGTCTCCTGTAAAATCAAGAGATGTAATTTTATTTCAAAAACTTGGGCTAAGTCATTGTGACTGGTACTTTCTTGATTCCAGGAAATCTCTATAGAGGATGAGGTCTTTTCAGGAAATGAGTGGTCATGGCTTTCTACAACTTCCTATCTTTTGGTGCTTCCAGCAATACTAGCTACTTTGCTTGTGATACTTGTTTATCAAGGTTAAGCAATGTTGAGGTTCATCAGTATTTGAGAAGACTAGGTGATGTAAGCTTAGGTGTGCAGGTGGTCTAATGGATAATGGCTCAGAATTCAAGCTCAGAGTGCAGAATTCCAATTCCAGTTGTGTTTTTATATTCACTTATTCACAAATTCCTTTGTGAGAAAGGTATGAACCCACTTCTCCTCCCAGCCATGGGTTAATTTGTAGTATCAGGAAATCATTATTATCTCCAAAAATACTAACAATCTAAAAATATTTTCTGGCTTTAAATAACCTGCAAAGGGTTGATAAGCCATAAAAATGAATCAATCAATTCATTCATTTGCTCAGACTTATCAACTTGGTTTCTTATTGCCTTTCTTTGTCTTTTTACTGTCGATGTGTTTTGTTTTTTTTTAAATCATTTCACCCCAAGCAAGGTAATTATGCCCTGAAGACACAAGAGATTACTGAGTGTGAAAGAATACAAGAAATATAAAAACATTATTAAGAAACAAGAACAGGAATTAAGATGACAGAAGATAAGGATTGATATTGAATTTAAATTTTTGAAGATCAAAGTTGGCTGGAAAGCAGAAGGTTGAAATAGAGTTCTCCAAGTTAGAATTGTGAGTGAAGAAACTGTTAGTATAGAACTTATGGTTACATGTAGCCATTTCAACTATAAAATGATGGGACCTAACTGCCAATCTAGTAATCTGCTTAATTTAGCTACGAAAGAGGAAAGCTCATTATCCTTTGTGTGTTAATTTCTCTCTGCCTTTTTTTCTTATATATCAAAAGATTGCATTGGTCACTTTTCATTGTCACCAACAATTTCTTTATAGTTTATATTCATCTTAACTCTTCATGATTTTTCATATAATTTGTCAATGCTCAATATTTATTGATAAAAATAAATCTTAGTTACTTTTATCTTCATTTGTGACAAAACTGCCCAGCATCCAATGCCAAATAAGAGGATGGACATTATGTATCAGTCCAGTAATCTTTCCTTTGTTCCCGATATGTTCTGATCCTTCAATATCTTGCTAACAAGAAATCAGAGAGCTGAGTTCAAATTCCAGTTGAGTTTGTTGCATTTACTTATGCGCAAATGCCCTTCTCTCTCCAGCTATGGATTGAAAAGCAGTACAGACTGGGTTCTATCACCTTGGTTAGCAACCAGTCTACCATAGACAGAATTGACAACCTACTGCGGCAAAATCTTCAAACTCTCTCTTTGAATATGCTTTGAGCCAGCATGGAAGAGTAGGCAAATAAAATTAACATGAGAGTAATATCTCATGCTGATACACAGTCTGCAGCTTTGTGGAGTAAGAATTTGCTTAAGTTTCTACAAGGCATCTTTTATGATTCCAGTTCACTTTCAAGTTAGACTGACATATTTTCCAATGTCAGTTATTTCACTGCCCAGATAGTTAAACTTTCTGTACCAACTTGATTTTGATATCATCAGTATGTGGAACCCCATTAAAAATTGTAGATTTAAGTAATATCACTAAAAACCTCAATTAACTCATTTTTATGCAAAACATTTAAATTTCCACATTTGCATTTATTAACCAATCAGTGATGTTATTTTAAATCCACTGAAGCCTTTGAAAAATCAAACAGCCATATTTGTTGTTTGCGATGAAATTTGAGGGATCATTTCAGAAAATAACTAACAATATTTTTCTTCCTAAAAATAGATATTTAAAAATTGGGAAAAATATAAATTAACCAATAAACTTCTGAGTTTAATAAGCTAATTTTTAACTTCTTTGAGCCTATTTTCTATAAATATTCGTGGTGTTAAGTTAGTTTTTAGTTTTTCTGTGAACCTGTGACCAGGGTCAGTTGTTCATTGTTGTGAATAAGCCAAATTCTCACACCTTTTGTATAATTACTCAACATTTGACACATTTATCAAGTAACTTCTTGCAATAACCTTGCAATTTAAAAATAAATTAAGCACACTTGAAACATAGAGTTATGTAAACAATATGTCAGGAGTAGTTATAATACAGCTTTGCCTACTGACTACTAGATAGTTACATGCATTCATAAAACAACATAAATACGACACACTCTTTATGTAGACACATTCTGTTTCTTTTATCTTACTATTACAATTGATTCTTTTGTAGTGTAAAGAAAGAAAACAAAATATTTTTGTGTGACTTTATTTCACAAGGGTCTTTGGAATTTTTTCTTTCAATTTAAAAGGAAACAAATACTCAATAATAAATTTATTTAAATTTGTAGAGCCATCTTTAAAGATTATTTCTTTTTTTGTTTTTCAAATGCTTATTCCCCTACATAGCTCAGACTTAGTGCTCTCCTTTTTAATGCTTTCACTGCTGCATTGTTATAGCTTTGTCACCTAGCTGTGCTGGCCCATTTTGGAAAAAATAGGAAATTGCCATTTACAAGAAATAAATAGCTATAAAAATACCGACAGCAATTTCTTACAGGCGTCACCATTTGCAGGACAGACTAAACAACATCCCTAATACACAATAAAAATATGTCACAAGACAGATCACATTGTATGCCAATGTTGGTTTGGAAATAGCACCAAGTACTAGGTATTTCATTACACTGTGATACTATTTGTTATTGCCGCAGTAAAATGGAAAAAAGTTTTGTTAAAACATAAGAAAGTGTTATGTGCTGAGAGACATTGAAATGAGAGGGGCTAATATCAAAAACCTGGGTAAAGAATTGAGAATTTAATTCACACATAAATGACTTGAAGTGTATGTCGAGCAGTTTGAACAATGAAAGAGTGTCCCAGACTTAAGGGGCAATGTTGACAGCGGCAAATACAAGCTGTAAAGTGAAAACTTCATTTTCGTAAACAACAAATTTAGAGTTGATTCTCGTGGTCATAAGTGATTCAAGACAGGAGCGGGGTGGATAAGCCACCCACATTCACTGAGGTGGTCTAGTGAGAGGTAATGATATGATGGATTGAGAGAAGGGAATTCCCCAAAATTATGTCACTAAATACGAATGCGTGAAGCGAATTTACCAGAAGGAGATGAGGCAGAGCAGAAGAGACAAAGACAGAGGCAGAAGAGAGGCCCGCATGATTATCTGCTAATTAAAGCCTCTGACTTGAGCCTTGTTCCAAACTTTACCAACAACAGCAAAGCAAATTTTTGCCAGGTCGATTATAGTATCACTTCTGTTTTAGATGTGAGCTGGGCTGATAATTAATTGCATGTGAACTCTGATAAACCAATTATTGTATGGAGGACTGATATAAAAACAGTATTTACTTTTTGTTTAATTTATTCAAGTGTTATTTTTTTTTTCCTGTACATCTTCACACTGCTTTGACCAGCCCATCACGAAGATACCTGCGATGATTCTGTCTTGGCCTCGTTATGATCAAACTTAAATTACAACATGAGATAGGGGAGGTCGAAGTGATCCCCACAGTGTTAGAAGTCTTGGATAATCAGCTAGGGCGTTGTGCAATTACAATGTTAAGGACTGACATGTAAGTTTCATAAAGATGCATATCTTCAAAAAGTATATAGATGTCAACAGCAGGCAATAAAATTTTTTAAAGACATAATTATGTCAGTAGCAGCTAAAGTGTTAATCTACTAATAAAATGAATCCCCCAGGACATGTAAGTAAGGATCAATTATACTTGATCAGGTTTCAAATTTTTACTTAAGAATGAGTACTCCTGTCAAGGTTGACAATAGGTATAAAAGCTATTACTGCCATTAATTAGGCAGAGAATATACTTGTGATAGAATATGCAAGTACTCATTCACCCACTTTTTCTCCAATTAATTTAGAATACCAATAACAGTTTTTAAAGATATCTAATGAGAATATAGAGTGCAGGGAAAAGTGGGTTCCTGTCTTAGATAGAAG